GAGCTTGCCCAACGCTTGTGTGGCCCAGCTGGTTCCCAACAGTCTGTGGACCAATATCATTTCGTGGACCGAGGTTGGGGATCCCTGTGTTATTCCTTTCCATTTTGGAAAAGAACTGCAGCCAGCAGAAAGAATAGTAGAGGCATTTGTAGAAAGTTATGTTGTGGGAATTATTATTTGTTTACTTGTGAGAAAATGGAAAATGTCAGAAAATTCTTTTGGGGGCAAATATAACTCAATTCTGGTCACAATTGAGTTATTATACTCGAAGAATATTTTTGGTCCAAATCAGTACTGTCTATAAGTCCAAATACTTTAAATATAGGGTCACCATCCCGTCTCAAACCCTCTTCAGGATTACACATTCTAGAGTGAGTTGTCTCATCCTTTTTCTTGGGTAGCAAAACATTTTCTTTGCAGTCAGGTGAAACAATCCATCCAGAGAACTGGGGTTTCTTTTATTTCATTTATCCCATAGCTGAGAGGGATAATGAGTTTTGTAATTCTGATTATTTCCATCTTCCTAACAAAGAATCAATGGCCAGGGAAGTAAGGACGGAATTATAATAGGCTGCAACAATTGGACTAACATAGACATATTTGGGCCCAACAAGGCTAACATTTCTTGTTAGTCAGTCCTTCCAGATTATAATCAGGGATTGGCAGGTAGAAAATGAAACATGGAACATAGAATAGAGTTGGAAGGGACCTTGGAGGTCTTCTAGTCCAACCCCTTTCCCGAGCAGGAGACCCATACCATTTCAGACAAATGGCTATCCAGTCTCTGTTTGAAAGAGTCCAGGGATGCCTCATGTGCAAGTTAAGAAAATAAAGGAATAGCATGAACAAAGAGGAAAGGAAAATGTTGTTTGTCTTTGCTGTTAAACAAAGCCTGCTGTCAGGAGTGGGATTCTACTGGTTCGGACTGGTTTGGGCGAACCCCTTGCTCCTGTCTCCAAACCGGTTTGCTGTGACAAACATGTGGGCCCACTGGTCTGCCCCTGCTCTTTCCTGTCTTTTACTTCCTTTGTTTAGAGCACAGCTGATTCGCACATCAAAGCGGTTAGCCGCCCCTCAGCTGTTTTCTTTACAGAGACTGCTGTAGAAGGTAAGTATTAAAACTTTTTGAAATGTGGAGCGTGCACGCGGAGCAAAGGGCCCGATCACTGAAACGGTTGTTATACCAGTGGAATCCAACCCCTGCCTGCTGTTGTATCCAAATATCCAAATACAAATAGAATTTTTAAAATTTTACGAGATTTCCCCACCTCACGCACAGTGTATTATACCAAGTTCTAGAGTTTTAGGTTTTCCAAAGTCCTGCTGATACACTTTATCAAAGAATTACATTTTCATCAGAAATGACTAAGACAGCTCACAGACCTCCAACATTTCAAATGAAATTGAATCATTCGGAGGGTTAGTTATTCTTAATTATGCAGTTTTAATAACAACATTAAAAATGGATTGGCTGTGATGCAGAGAGAAGATATTGAAATAATTATGTTCTAAGACAACAGATCCACAGGGCAACTATGTCAAACACAAGGGTGCCTAATTCAACATGAATTAAAAGATCACAGTTTCCCGCTTCAGATAGTAATGGACATCTGCATAAACCTGCAGTAAAACTGCTCGTGTTTGTGCTTTCAGGTGAGATCGAAATTAACCACCATCACCTCGACTGATGAGGAAGGGTGTTTTTTTTCCCTTAGGGAAAGACACATAATAAGCCCAGTTACAACAAACCTAATACAACATTCAACTATATTACTGGAAGGAAAAGAAGATTATTGATTGCATCTGCTCTTCCCGCCAACAAAATGGAGAGTGTTTTGGCGGTTGATGAGAAGAAGAACAAAGAAGTATTGAGGTCCCTCGTGGCCTTTCCTTTCCTCCTCCAAAAAGAGGACATAATTAATGGGAGTTCATTTTGCAGATGGGAGCTTTTGGATGCATACCCATCGATGTTTGTGCGTCTGCCTCTGTGCACGATTGGTGACTGCAGTAGTAGTCCCTTAAAAGATCTTCCATCCCTGGAGTAGGAACTCAGACGCAGAAGAATATATGGAAATATTTCCAGATATTTGAATGGACAATATCTTCTTCTTAAAGCACACATTGTGTCTTTCTTTCCCTTCCATCTTTTTCCAATTTTTGTACAATTTTTTTTACTCCGTTAAACGAATGGACAGAGACACAAAATCATATGTATGGGTATAGGCAATGGGTGGACTGCTGGGGGTTCACAGGGGTTCGGGAGAACCTCTAGCTAAGATTTTGGAGAACCTCCAAATCCCACTCCCACCCCTCCCCTCCCAAGTGTCTCCATGCAGCCCGTTTTGGATACACGTAAGTGCAGAGTGCGTGCAGAGTGCGTGCAGAGGCTCGGGGAGGGCAAAAAACGGGCCTCCCAGAAATTGGGGAAGGCTGGAAACGGGCCCATTCCCAGCTTCCAGAGAGCCTCCGGAGCCAGGGAGGCTGTTTTCGCCCTCCCGGAGACTCGAGGAAAGCCTCTGGTGCAGGAGGCTGACTAGGCCCCACCTACCATGGCCACACCCACCCAGCAACCAGGCAGAGAACCTGTTGCTAAAATTTTTGAAGCCCACTCCTGGGTATAGGTATATGTATCCGTATATGTGTGCATGTTACATATACTCTCTCTCTCTCTCTCTCTCTCTCTCTCTCTCTCTCTCTCTCTCTCTCTCTCTCTCTCTCACACACACACACACACACACACACACACACACACTCTTTCCAGAAGGTTATTCTCAGATTTAGATTAATCTAAACAAACAAACAAACAAACAATCCCCCCAAATTGTGAGAGTCAAGTATCTGTTTAGTATTTGGATGATAGGCTCCAAGGATGTTGAAATATATCCCAAAGAATGACAAATTATTTCCTCACTATTGACAAGAAAACTACGTGGTACAGTTTGCAGATTAAAGTCACTGCAGGCTCCATTCAAGGAGACAGTACCTTTTTATGATCAGGTAATTGGATCTTTACTTTAAATGCTTTCACCCATAGATATCCAGAGAACCACTAGAGGGAGCTATCTTCTAATATGAAAAACGGAGTTTATGTTTTCAATAGTCACCATCATATTCAGAAAGAGGTAAAAGACAGAGAACAGAATATACAACACAGGTTTCTGAAGCCTGCAATTTTAGAGATGTGTGGACTTCAACTGCCAAGCTGCATCTTAAAGTGGCCTGGTTTGAAAAAACACAGATGCAAATGAATTAGACCATAAGACCATTTTCGGGAGAATTGTCTCTCCTGAACATTTCTTTATTGTGGCCTAATCCTAAACAAGGTTTGTTGCATTTGAATCTCATTAGTTTCAACAGGTTGCGGACTCAGTGGTGGGATTCAAAATTTTTCACTACCGGTTCTGTGGGCATGGCTTGATGGGTGTGGCTTAGTGGGCATGGCAGGGGAAGGATACTGTAAAATCTCCATTCCGCACAAATGTGCGGATGCTAAATGTGCGGATGCTAAAAAATACTGGACTAAAATCCAGATGTGGTTGGAAAAAAATCACAAAAAACATATAGACTTAAAACCAGAGATATTTTTATTGGGAATTTTACCTGAAATATATAGTAAAGACTTGAAATATCTGATTGTAAATGTATTAACAGCAGCTAGGATTGTATTTGCCAAAAAGTGAAAAAATGAGAAAACACCATCACAGGAGGAAATCATTAAAAAAATATTGGAATGTGCTGAAATGAGTAGATTGACATTTGAAATTAGAGAACAAGAGGATAAACAATTTTATAAAATTTGGGATCTATTCTATCAATGGTTAGACAATAAAATACAGTAATGAAATATGTAGACTTTTAGAAAATAATAAATATATAAAGATGTACTTCTTTCTTATTATATCTACAAAATGATTTTAGGATAGATTTGGGATGATAATATGAACTGTTATAAAACAAACTAAGTAAATTATGATTATCTTGTAAAACATGAATGAATAAAAGTATAGTCAAATGACTGATTAATAATGATACTAAGGTATTTAATTTTTGATTGAAAATACGAGATTATATGCAATGTAATTGTAATTGAAGACTACGAAATGGAAGCACAAAACAATTTGTAAACCAACCGGCACACTGTATGTATACATATGGAAGATGGCTTGATGTTTTTATGTTCTGTTTGTTTATGTTTGTTTTTAAAAAACCAATAAAAACTTAAAAAATAAAATAAAATAAAATCTCCATTCCCTCCCCACCTTTGGGGGAAGGTTACTGCAAAATCCCATTCCCTAATCTGCTTTCCAGCTCCGTTCTCCTGTACAGAGCAACAAAAGCAGACCCAGACGATCAGCTGGGACTCAGGAGGCAGAGAGTAGATGGGGGCGGGGCCAGTATTTGCCGGTTCTCCAAACTACTCAAAATTTCCGCTACCGGTTCTCCAGAACTGGTCAGAACCTGCTGAATACCACCTCTGGTCTGGTTGCGGCAGGCTTTTTTTTTTTTTTTTCATCTGGTGCTTTCCAAATGTATTAAAAATCTGGCAAATTCTAATACATTCGATAAACAAGAGATAGAAGAGAGTGATTTCTCTCCATTACATTTGGAATTTTTTCCCCCCTAACAATGCCATCTTACAAATGCACAAGGCTTAATCCTACCTATCTATGTAGACAATTGCAGTCAAAATAAGTATCTGACATCCTTTATCAGATGCAACTCAAATAGAAAGGGTTTGGTTGACTCATGTTTGTTCTCACAGTGAAATGAAAAGCAATTGGGCACTTGGATTGTTTCTGTCATAACAGGAAATAAACAAAAAACAAATCACCTGGCTTTCTTTTCCAACATGCTCCAGCTCTTTGATAACTTTCACGTATCTGATTTTCATCTGGTGCATGTCTTTTACAATCTGCACAGAAAGGCAAACAGAAAAAATAAATCCATATCATTATTGAACACAGATCCTTAACAGTGTGTCGGAGTGAACATTCAGTCAACATTTGGCTGTACTGTACTATAAGAGAAACAATATAGATGGTTAAACTAGCACAGGCAGACAGCAAGACCAAAATGCACCTTAACCGCATTTCATTTTAGGAGGCTTGTAAAATCAGACAAGACTTACTTAACAACTGCCTTAACAACAGAAATTCCAAAGTTCCAATTGTGGTCTGTTGAGGACTAGCTGTAATACTGTTCTGACTTAGCAACTGTAATTTTTAAAATCTGAGACAGGTTTAGAAGTAAAGTGATAAAAATGTTTAAAGGAACAAATTGTGCATACACAGTATGGCATATGGCTTGGTGGACATACAACTAACATTTAAGGCACACATATTCTATTTATGGTACTCTATTGCTCATTGGATGAATATTTGTAGGTTTGTGAAATGTTTTTAATCTCCTTCATTCAGTGGGACCTTTCTGTGAGCCAAGGGAAAGGAACCGCAAAGGAAGATCTCATTCTAACCTTACCTTGTTGAGCACTTGAGTAAAAATATCTATCTCTTGAACCAGGTGTAAACCATAGTTGTATTGTATCTCAGGACAGAATGTTTGTAAAAACCCGATTTGATATTTATTATTTATTAAATAGATGACCATGAAAAGTACTTTCTTAAGAGACAACTATTGAAATAGGAAAAGGAGGAAATAACTGATTTGTGTTTAGTAAAATTTAAGTGAGAATGAATGTGAAAATGAACCACTGATATATTACTGACAAATAATATCCCACTTTCTCAGGAGAACTGTCTCTTTATATTGTTTCCTTGGTACTTTTCGTGATGTTTTGCGAGGGGCTGTACAGTGGTGGTATTTTTTCTGTTTCCCATTTTGTTATCATGTTCCTTACTGCATAAAGTCAATGTATGTCAGAAATAATCATCACTCTTTACCTTGGTAATGTATAATTTAGCTGATTTATAGGGAATATAAAATAGTTCTTCTTTGGATTGATATCCATCCAGCTGAGTGTCAGGAAACAACTGTCCAGGAGAACTTGGATAACCTGCAATATATAAAAAATATGAAGAAAAAGAAAAAAAGAATAGGGCTGTGCAATGCTACAGATTTGATTCTGAAACATTGCTTTGAAAAATCCTAGTGCCTGAATGCAGCCTTGTCAGCAACTCATTGAAGCCACTGCATTTTTTTCCTGAAGAACTTTCCTCACAAATAGAGTTGAGTTCCTGGACTGCTTTAATGAATTATGAACAGATGCTGTACTTTTACTATAACACATTCTGAAGCACCATTTTGTTATCAACGTAAAATATTGCATAGCCAAAGACAAACACTTGGGCCTTTAAGATAGCCTTTTGCAACCTGGTCCCCTCCATCTAAGTTTCAGAATTTCCAGATAATCAAATAGTTGATCTAATTTATTATCTCATCCCAGGCCACATATGGGTATTGTTGAACTACAGCTTTCCAAGATCTCCTATTCCTGGCTAAGGATGCTGGTAAGTGTAGTCCAGCAACCTCCGAACTGCCATTTGCTTATCCTAGCCTTGTTTTTTTTTAAATACAGATTTGAACCGGTGATGCAAAGAAGCAAGGCAATGCGACTATTCACACTTTGAAGGGCAGGCCAAAAAGAGAACACTGATACTCTCACACATTTGTCATTAACAAAATAGTAAAATGAGTTTAAAACAAGATGCCCTCAAGTGATACAAAACAGCAGGTCTCTATGTGATGGTTTCAGTAAGATGTTTCATGCCACTGAGGCAGCATAATTCACCTCACTGAGGGAGGAGGTGAGACGATGCACTTCCAAAGTATTTTGTGTGGTTTTGGTCTTTTCCAATAACACATTAGCCTCCTGGAAAAGTTGGAAGACACCATGTTGCCTTACAATCCGGGCACATTCTCCTATCCCGAAGTTTCCCAGGGATTGTATAAGTTCAATGCAGCCATGAAAAAGAAATTATATTTATTATGCAAATAAGACATGGCAAAGGAAAGACCCAACTGTTGCCGTGAGAATTATATCATGAAATGGCAGGCGGGCTACAATGGTATTAGTTTCTGCTTATATTGTGAAAAGTACCTTTCTCTGCTTCCTTTTGGTTTTCTTCATTTTCATTGAGACATTTTGCAAGGGAAGTCTTACTGTGGTCAAAACTCTTGTTCTCATTTGAGAAAGTTTGCCCTGCAAAACAAATCAAGCTGAAAACCAGGCTGGCTTTATAATATGTACTTCTACCCTTGTCTTTTCCAATGTGTGCTGCAGATTACTCCTTTTATGCACTTGCATAATGTTTGTTACCTCATACCTTCTCTCACACGATGGGTGCATATATATGCATATCTATGCAGTTCTTATGACTGGTCATGTAACAACCACTGAAACTTGTTACCTCCCTGAAAAAGGGACCTTGCGGTCCAGATCCAAAGTTTGGACAGTCATCTTTCTCCAGGGGTGGGCTGCTGGGGGCTCGCAGGGGCTCAGGAGAGCCCCCAATAACCTCAGAAAGACAAGCATCAAAAGGAAAGGTCTTAATAGGCTTATCATTGAACTTCTGGGCATTCAGCCAAGAACATTTCACACCTCGTAAAAGTGTTGCAAGCTAGATAAACAATCCACTCAGCGCTTGAGGGAGAGCCATTGAGAAAATCAGATAACATAGCCACTAACCTCTGAGGGGATTAATGCCCAAATAATAAGAATCACGTAACTCACCAGAAACTCCACTAAGACTCCAAGATCCCGCTCACAGTCACTGCTATTAA